ACACACACACATCCTTTTTTAATCTTTAAAAAATGTTTATTCTATGTGGAGGTCAGAGTGCAACCTGCAGGAGTTAATTCTCTCCTTCTACTTTTTGGGTCCAGGGATAAACTCAGGTCATCAGGCTTGGGGGCAGACACCATCCCACCAGCCCCGGGAGGATGAACAGTGAACACTATCTTCTGCTAGTACTGTTGATGGGTGCTAAAACGATCTATGATATGACCTTGAGTGAAAAACAACAGACCAGCCTCAACCTTTAGGAGGCAGAGGCCATGGACACCCGGCAAAGGGAGAAGAAACATTTCAGGGGACCCACACAACAAGAAATGGATACCACAGACCTCCTAGCATATTTACGAGGCTCTAGTCTCTGTGAACAAATGGTCACAGCATCCGTGAGATGGCTCAATCCCTAGGGAAGGAAGGAAGTGGCTCCCCCAAATTGTCCTCTGACCTCCTCACGTGCACTGTGGCATGCACACACTAGCATGCTTGCACTCACAACCTCTCCCGTATACACAATTAACAAATGCAATATTTTTAATTTAAAAATAAATGTTAAAAGAACCACGGAGATGTAATAATACTACTCTGGAGTACAGCTTTGTGCATATTCACCATGGTGTGACCCAGCCCCACACAAAGTTCTTTGGGAAAACGGAGGGTATGGTATCTATGTATGTACATAAGCGTTTTTTTACACTTACTAGTTTGTATAGCACTATGAGCACGTGGAGGTCAGAGGACAATTTCGTGGAGTTGGTCCTCTCCTGACACCTTTACTTACATGTGGTCCAGGAATTGAACTCAGGTTGTTAGCTTGGCATAGGAAGTAATCTGATCCGCTGAGCCATCTTGGTGGCCCTAGATTTTTTCAGCTAGTTAATTAATATATTCTTTTTCTCTTTGAGACAAGGTCTCCTGTAGCTCAGGCTGGCCTGGAACTTGCTATGTAGCCAAGGTTGACCTTGAGCTTTTGATCCTCCTGTCTCCTCCTCCCAAGCATTAGGACTACAGGTATGCACCAGCGTGGCCAACCCATGGCGATTTTAAAAATCTCTTTTGCAATTATTCAGCCATCCTCAACCATCAAGCCACCCTGTCTCCTGAAGGGACAGCAGAGCTCCCAAGTCACCAACTTCAGCTGCAGGGCTGTCTCAGCCTGAAATCCCCTGCAGTCACCAAAGTCACAACCCTACTCACTCCAAACCCTGCTCAGGCCCCTTGAAGAAGTGGCTGAGATATTTCTTAGCGGATGGCTCCTGCCTTTGTCAGAGCTACGCCACTCATCACTGCCAACGGGTATCAGAAGGTGACCCTGGCTTAGAGAAGAACATCAGCTGTTCACCAAGGTCATCGAAATGCATATTGCGAATCCTCCACAATTTTCAGGCTAAAATTATTTTATTGGAGATTAAGAATGATGTCTAAAAAAATAGTTAAAACTGGCCTTAGCCTGACTCCAGATAGCATCTCAAGAGAATGTGCATATTAAATTATAGATTACTGTCATCCTTGACACAAAATAAAATTGGCAAGGGGAACACAATTAGTTCCCTTCTAGTGGCCACTTGGAGGCAGAGTTAGGGGAACAGGGCTGTGGCGGGCAGGCAGATGGTAGAGTCCTTGCAACCTGCTGAGACCTGGCAGGTGGTCAACATCTGCAGGGACTGTTGTCCTGTGACAGAGCAGGGCAATGCCCCTGTGCAGCTGAACTTTCTGCACATAACACATATGAGGACATCTCACCCCTGGCCTGTTGGAGGCATGCAGGAGTCAAGCTTGTGAGGCAGGAGCTTGGGCAGCATGAACCATATGGAGGAGCCATAATTCAAGGGAGCAACAGGTGGTCTTGGAACTACTCCCATCATGCCAATAGGCACATTTAGATACTTTTAGGGTCTGCTGGAATTTCTCCCACTTGAGGTTAAAATGAGACTCATTTCAATCCAAATTGGAGGCTCCTCATTGGTAGAGAGGCAATGGCTCCCAGCAGCTGCCAAACACAAGGACAAGGGAGAGTTCCAGTCAGGCAAGGAGCTGATTTCGTCTCTCTGGGAAATTCTCGCTTTTGATAACGTGCCTGCCTCCTCTTAAAGCAGTGAGCAGGTTACAAATATGCTCACCCACTTTCTGAACAAGTACTAACACAAGCAACGGGTGTGCTGGGAAAGGACACCGGCTTACCTCTGGTTCTGGCTGCGAGCCAGGCTCCTCTTCCGAAGAGTTGGGTAGGATTGCCCACGTTATGTTGGCACTGGCTGAGGGCAAAGAGCCAAGGGTCCCGTTTTTCAGTTGCTCTGTGGAATGTGACGTGGGCCCATGCCATCCCAGGATGGTTTCTGAAATAAAGAGCTAGAATGATGCCAGATATTCTCCAAATCTAATACTTAGAGCCTAGGAAGTATCTGTACCTTGTCATATGAGGAGACCCATGTGACATGGGCCCTTTGTCACACATGGGGGGAGTCTGTTTTGAAGGAGGTTCCTGACCGTGCACGTAAGAGACATTTTCCTACAGTATCAGGACCAGAGTCATCATGGACCAGAAAGAAACAATTTGTATTTGGTGAGTGCATGCACACGGGGCCAGAGGGGCTCGTCAGGTGTCTTTCTCAATCACGCTCCACCTTGATTTTCCCCCACTTTGTCATGGCCTCTCACCGAACCTGGAGCTTACCAAATTCAGCGAGGCTGGCTGAAGGAGTACCAGGATCTCCCTGTCTCCAGCTCCCCATTGCTGGAAACACAGGTGGACACTGCTGCACCCAAGTCCTCATGCTGCATGGCAAGCGCTCCACCCAGGGTCACCTCCCCAGCCCCCAACAATGCATTTTACCAGCATTAGATAATGCTGGGTTGTTGTTTTTTTTTTACTTTCCAAAACATTTTATAATATTTAAAGACTGAGTCATATCGTCAGATACAGGCAACTCAAAATGTATTTTGTTGTTGAATCATCCCAGTTCAGGAAAGATGTTGACAGTGTGGGCACAAAAGGCTGCTCCTGTTGCCAGATGTGGCCAGGTGCAGGGAATGTTAAAAAGACCCACCACTGAGGGCCAATATGCCTGGTCCATTCTAGCAAGAAATAATCCTTAGAAATAGCAGCTTGTTAAGCCAAAAGCATTTTCCCAATCTTCCTTCAAGGCCTGGGAGGCGGGGAAAGATTTTTTCCTCCAATATGATTTTTTACAGTATTATTATTACCATGTATCCTCCTGAGCTTATTAATGGGGACGGGGGTAATTACAGGTAAATTTCTTTACCCCATGGCAGTTTAGCAAGGTGACTAATAGGTCACTCTCAGCTCACTTCCAGCCTGGAGATTTAGTTCCCCACCTAGGAGCAGGGAAAAATGAGGGAGCAAAGACAAGCTGGGGGTGGGAGAGAAAGGGGGGCTCACTGGGTCCTCCTGGTCTCAGGTGTGCCATCCTCAAGGCAATCCTGTCTGCGGACGTTCTTTCTGAACTTGCTCAGAAAAATCTAGAAATGGCCTAAACCTTTAGCATCCTGATAGACTCTGATTGGTGTATATAAAGTAAGACAGACAGCAACAAAAATGTGGTGCTTGCTCCCACCCCACCCCACCCGTGTGTGTGTGTGTGTGTGTGTGTGTGTGTGTGTGTGTGTGTGTGTGTGTTGCTGAGGGTGGTGTTATCCAACCCAAGTACACTTGTATGTAAAAGTCTCTCTTTTCAATACCATCCTCGATACTTCTAAATACATACATATGTAGTAGGCTACATAACTCCACTGCTTAAGCCCCAAGGGAAGTAAAACATAAGCCCCTGGGCCTTCCCAGCCCAGAGCTGGCAGGCCCCTCCCCCTCCCCGTGTGCTCCAGCCTCCCTGACATTGAGCTGAGTTCATTATCATCTTAGAGCATTGCACTCGCTACACCTTCTTCCCAGGTGCTGCCCCTCCAGACCACCTCTGGGGAAGTGGGGGTGGGGTTTGCTAAGCATCACCTGCTCAGAGGCCTCCTGGGAGATCCCTGGTCCTAGGGCATCCCAAGCCACACTGCAGCAAACTGCCTTCCTTACAGGACCCACTGCTGTTTGAGCTCAGCCAGGGCCCACACTGGATTCTGTGCCCTCTTTCCTCCCTAGAACACCAACTCCTTGGAGGCAGAGGCAATACCGCCCTCACTTTTCTGACTTCCATGGACACCAATTCATGCATGTGATCCACACACATACATGCAGGCAAAACATTCATGCACATAAACTCTTTTTTAAAAAAAAAATGAATAAATTCATACATGGATGAATGAATAAACATTGAAAAAACATGGAGAAAGTCAGTTAGTCTTGTGGTTTAGTCTCACTCGCCTCACCTAGTCTATCCATGTGTCTGTCCAACCATCCGTCCATCTGCCCCCGCCCCCCACCT